TATATATAATAAAATTAATAATTTGCATATCATTTATATATATATATATAATTCTGATTTTCTAGATTGCAATTCCTGATGTAGTAGAAGCTGCTAAAGATGCAGATATTCTAACTTTTGTAATACCTCATCAATTTATAAAGAGAATATGTAGTATATTATTGGGAAAAATAAAGCCTACAGCTATTGGCCTTTCTCTGATAAAGGTATGATTTTATTTTAGTTTTGATTTATTTAAAAATTAAAATAAATATATATATTTTTGTCATACATAATTTTATTTAGAAAAAGACAATTGTAACTTTTTTTAAAATTTTAATATAAATCATTTATATTATAATACATATATCATAAATTCTATATTTTTATTTGTATAAAATTCTTTTAATTGTATGAAATTGGATAATCTATAATTCAAACTATACAGACAATAAAAATAACATATTTGATATCAAGATAGATTTATCTTGTATTAAAAAATGGATTTATGTTCATAAGATTTATATATCAATTATGAAATAAATAACCATGTTTCACAAATATAAATTATGATAATGAATGAAACAAGTTTGTTATATTTATTTATCATTATTTTGCAGGGCTTTGATAAAAAGCAAGGAGGTGGTATTGAACTTATTTCACATATAATTTCAAAACAACTTCACATTCCTGTTTCAGTTTTAATGGGAGCAAATTTGGCTTCTGAAGTAGCAAACGAAATGTTTTGTGAAACTACTATTGGTAAATTTTTATGAAATCTCTAAAATAAATATTCTATATGTGCTAATAGCATATAATTAGTATATTTAGTATAGTAGTACTAATTAATATATTAGTATAATTAATATATAATAGTATTATAATTATATATATTATTTATTTCCACTTAAAAAAATATTAATACAAGTGTTTAATGTTTTAAAAGATATCAAAATTATACATTATAATTCTAGATAAATGTTTTTGAACAAAGTTATAAAGTATTTTAACTTTGTAATATCATTAATGTCATATTATGTATCAAAGGAAATAATATATAAGTCAAAATTAAATAATTTGTATCAAATTGATAATTATTTGTATTTATAGATACCAGAAGTTTCTGAATAATTGGTTTTTCTCAAGAAAATTTTAATACTTTTGTTCTATTGTTCTAAATAATGAATATTTTTAAAATTATTAAAATGATTATCAATATTATGAATTAAAATTATTAATTTGAAATGGTTATCATAAGAATTTTTTTTTTTTATATTAATCAAATTTTAATAATACAATGAGATATATATTTGAAGATCATTATTATATTGATCATTTAATACTTGTGTTTATAATATATTAATATAATTGTTTGTCCATGATTATTTATCAATATTCAATATTATGGATCAATATTGTATGTAGAAAAGTATTTTTGAATAATTATATTATTTTTTATATGTTTTATAGTTAAATTGATATTGATATATTAAATCTTTTTTTTTAAGTAATTCCATTGAAATATATTTTAATTATTAATATATATTTGTATGATTACTTATGATTTAATATATAAAATATTCCATTATATCAGGAAATCATTTCAATAGAAAAATTTACACATGAAAACAATAAAAAAAGTTTTATAAATATTTATAAATATTTTATTTTGTTTTCGAGTTGTAGTTAATATTAAATATTTTGGAATGTTGAAATAATTTTATTACAAAGTAAAAATAATTGAACTAATTACATTATTTACAAACAAAACTCGATATCAAACATTCAGAATATGAACATTTTTTTATTGTTTTTATATATAGATTTATCTATTGAAGTTTCCCAATATAATGAAATAACTTATACACAATAGGTCATTGAATAAATCCAAGTTGAGTTCTAATAGTGTATAATTTCCTTAACAGAAATTTAATGCAATTAAAATCATGATAATAAAAGAAAATATAAGAATATGTAAATATATTTGTGCGGTACTGGTAGTAATATATATATATATATATATATATATATATATATATATATATATATATATATAT